GATACTTGGCAGATGAAATTTAACACAGAGAAATGTAAGGTAATCCATGCAGGGAGCAGAAATATAAAGTACAGATATTTTATGGGTTCCACTGAAATAAAGGTAGCTGATTACGAGAAAGACCCCGGTGTGTATCTTGATGCTTCCATGTCCCACTCTCACCAGTGTGGGGAAGCAATAAAAAAAGGCCAATAGAATGTTGTGTTATATCTCTAGGTGTGTGGAGTTTAAGTCAAGGGAGGTGATGTTACATTTACATAATTCCTTGGTAAGACCCCACCTAGAATACTGTGTGCAGGTTTGGTCACCATACCTCAAGAAGGACATTGCTGCCTTAGAAAAGGTGCAACGAAGAGCTACGAGAATGATTCCTAGCCTTAGAGGAATGTCTTATGAGGAGAGGTTAGTTGAGCTGAATCTGTTTAGCCTTGAGCAAAGGATACTAAGGGGGGACATGATCCAGGTCTATAATATTCTAACGGGTCTGGATGCTGTTCAGCCAAATGGCTATTTCAGTATTAGTTTAAATACTAGAACTCGTGGCCATAAGTGGAAATTAGTGGGAGAACATTTTAAAACAAATTTGAGGAAGCACTTCTGTACACAGCGTGTAGTTAGAGTATGGAATAGTCTTCCTGCTAGTGTAGCAGAAGCTAAAACCCTGGGTTCCTTTAAATCAGAGCTAGATAAGATTTTAACAACTCTGAGCTATTAGTTAAGTTCTCCCCAAAGGAGCTTAATGGGCCGAATGGCCCTCTCTCATTTGTAAATTTCTTATGTTCTTAAGATTTTTTTGGTCATCGAATGCCAGTATCAAATGCCAGAATGCCAAACTATATTCAGAGATATCAGTTTTCATTTATTGTAAAGAAATTATGCATTCGTAATGATTCGTATCCATCCAATATCCTCCTGAGACCAAAGGAAAAAAATGGGTCTTTCAGTTTTAGGTTATTTGTGATTTTCCACATCTTTGGAGGAAATAAAACATCTTGCATTTTAGACTTTTTCAAACTTTTATTTTTAATTTTACACCATGTCCTCTGCAGTGGACAAAAGGACGCATTTGATGTTTGAAACAGGAAGTTAAACCATTGAATCATTGCGTTATTTGGCAAAACTAATCACTTTTAATGACTTATGTTTCATTTCTTTCCTTGTTAATTTATGAGTTGCGCCACCATCCATTTTCTATATCCGCTCATCCGATGCAGGGTCTCAGTGGTCTGGAGGGCAAGGCAGGAAATAACCTAGGACAGGGCTACCAACACATCACAGGGCACACACACCATCTATGGGCTATTTGCCATCTCCAATTCACCTTTTTGGACTATGGGGGGATACAAGAGAAGGAAACAAAATGATGACACAGGGAGAATATGGAATATGCTCATCTGATGAGTCTGGCTCCTCTTCAAAATTCTCTGTTACTGTGGAATATTATTTAGCACTACATAACACATAGAGAATATAATCATTAGGACTCTATTAAGAAGCTAATGTAAACTGTGTAGAGAGTGACTTTGTAACCTTCAGAGAATGCAGACCAGTTACTGCTGTGCACAATGTGATGGAAAACAAGTATGAATTAGCGTTGGCTTAGAAGATTCTGTATTTGTTAGCTATTTTGTTAGTCTTTGATGTATGAATATGTACTTTATTAGTGCTGCAGCTTATCACTATGTTGAAGGACAAATAAATTATTAACCCTCTAGCCAGAGAATGTGCAACAAGCTGAAGCTGCCAAGGTTTGATACTGAAGGAAGGGATTCGCCAAAAGTTCACGGCTGGGTAATTTAAAAAACCAGCTAGAGATGGTCACGCCAGAATTATGTTCAGCCGAGGGACGAAACAGTAAAAGAGATGATTGACAAACTTATCATCTAGGGATGTAGATCAAGGGAGAAAACAACGATGGTGTCATGCCCCGCTCCGTCCGATCCTAATGTGTGCCACGCCCCCTCGTTAACCTCATGTGGAATCCCAGTGTCTTACAGCTGTTTCGGATTGTTGTCATTAGTTTAGTGTATTTCGTCCGCGTTTCCGTTTGTATCCCCAGTCCGGTCATTGACGTTGTGATGTTGTGTTGTTTTGC